TATTACATGGCTTTACTGAACTTATGATTTTATATAATAAGAAAAATAGTATTAATTTAAAAATTTGAATTCTACCCCTCCTAGTCACTATTACAACATACCACATTACTGATTGTCAATGACTACCTTGAGTTGTTTTCTAGAGGATTATCAGAAGCCAAGGATAAGAGCTAGAAAAACTTAAATAGAGGTGAAAACCTTACAAAATTTTGACTTTACAGATCTTTGATTTTTTATGTACTTAAGGTGTTACGACATTTACAATAGAAGCAGGTATTCAAATGTTTGTTCATATTAAAATGCCTGTAAGCATCACTAGTGAAATACCAGCATGTGATTTTGCCTGAAAGGAAGGTGAGATTCTATTCTCCTGTTTGAAATTAACTTCGTTTTTTTTCCACTGATATATGTGAAGCAACATTATAAAATTGAAAAATATGAATTATTATTATTATTTTTTACCAATTCCTCTACTAAACAGCTTGTGAAAGTTATCTCTGGACCTGTCATTTATAAGCTATAAATAATAATGGCTTCTCTTATAGACCTATTAAAGGTTTGAAAGAATTTGGTGTTTAGATAGTGATCAAGATGACTTGTTTTTATTGTTCCACGGTGCTTGCCTGTATTTCCTGTGCTTCCCTGAAAATTAGTGAATTAATACATATGTGAGAAAGTATGATATATTAGTAATTTGTCCCACATTTGTAATGTAGAAAATTTTATTAAGTCACTGAATATAAGCAATGCTTTGGTTAATTTTCAGCCATAGACATTCAAAATATTTTCAATCATAGGAAAAAAATTACATTATTCATATTTTCAACTTTTTGGGTTTCTCAGTATTTTCTGCCTAAATACCTCTACTGGCAAGGGAGACTAAGTGTGAAAACTTGGGGTTTATTTTAAAAGTTGGGCACAGTGGTGCACTGTATAATCCCAGAGACTTAGGATGCTGAGGCTGGAGGATCATAAGTTCTAGGACAGCCTCAGCAACTTAGATTGTCTCAAGTTAAAAATAAAAAGGGTTGGGGTTGTGTGTCAGTGGTAGACTTCTTCTGGGTTCAAACCCCAGTACTGCAAAACAAACAGACTATATAACTAAAATAAATTATAACACTGTTTTAATTATACCAATAAATTTTGCTAGCAGTTTAATTTTGTTTGCTTTTTTGCTGTTTCTTTCATACTTTATTAGATGTAAGTACATTAATAATAGATATTTCCAGTCTTCAGCATCATAGTGTTAAAATTTGATTTTACCTCAGGTTATTATTAATTTAAAATCAATATATGAATTGTGATATAGAGCTTTATAAATTGGATAATAGGAAAAATGTTTATGATTATCAGTGCACAATGAGCTAAGATATATACTTGAGTGCTACTTCTTTTTTGCAAAGGCCATTTCAAAATGGTGCTCAAAAATAAAATGCAAATTTCAATTGAGAAGCTTTGAAGTAGATATAATTATGTTTTCTAAGAATATGCATGCATGATAGAATTCTTCCTTTTTGAATGCTTTACCCTATATTTTTTTCTCTAATTCAAATCATTTTTAAATAAATTGTGTTTAGAGTCATAACTAAAATACTATTTGAATTAAAGTAAATGCAGGTGAATACCATTATTCAAAGGGTACTATGTGATTGTACCTCTTAACTGGCAATCTTACTGTTTGCATGTTTTAACCAGATTCTAGACTGGAACAAATGTGGTGAAAATCAACACGAGCTCATCTCTGTGGAAACTGGCAAAGCAGCAGATGCTGCTACTGGAAATAGCTGGGACTTCTTAGTCTTGAGATGAAAAACACTTTGTGAAAAAAGATTTATTATGTGGATTGATTCACCTATTAAAAGGGTATACATTGTTGTTTACTGTGCCTTATTCCAGTGGCAGTACATCTGTTTAAAATGCAGAGACAGGAAAGTCTAACCCCTTTATTTTTGACATTTCCCTTTCATGATTCTGCCTTGACACCACACTAAGTTCATCTCTTTAACCTAATTCAATGTCCATTTAAAGAACACATCTGAAATCTTTTAAAGTGAAAATGACAGAGAGTCTCCATGTAATGAGTCTTTAATTAAACTTTCAGAACACCTCAAACTCAACTCTTCTCATTATTTCTTCTGTGTCACTCACATGAGATGGGCACGATGTGGATAAAAATGATATAACCACAGGCCAAAGGGAATCACTAGATCCTGTGACACAGAAAATATTACACAATCGATAACTGCTGAACAGCAGAGGCTTTATCTAAATCTTACCTAATATAGAAGTTGCTTTGGGCAGAGGAGACAATAGAAGCAGAAGAAGAACAGGCTGGAGATCATTCTTCCACAATGGTGTCTATGTTGCTGTGCTTCATGAGCATGCCCTAAATAAAGCCAAACTGTTACAGAAAGATAGATTATAATAGTGGTAGTTATCAAATTTTGTTCCAGTATTAATTCCGTTAGAAATAATTAAAATTCATTTGTCAAAGGAAAAACCTGTGAAACATACCTTACATTTCAAAACACTAGATTATATGGAGTATATGCTCTCACTTTAGATAATCCTGCTTGCCTTCAATTGCCAATGGAATCAGAAGACTTCTTTTAGTCAAAATGGGGTTGTAAGGAAAATACTACTCAAAATAAAAAATGTATATTTATGATCTTTTTCATTGATTTAAATTGTGATACAAAGAATTTATGAATTCATAGAGTAATGTTTTTTAGGGAGAAATTAAAGGGTGTTTCAACATTATTTGTTTTGTTATTTTATAAGTAGGGTGCTTGTAGGGTCTTTTCTCTATCTTTAAATTTGTCAATATAAAACCAAGTAAATGTATCAAGAAGTTAATTTTATATCTTTTCTGATAAGGTAGAATTCTTTCATTTGATCCTAAAAATATTTAGTCAGAGACTAAAAAATTGTTTGAAAATACAAAATGTGGACAAATGTTAGTTTACAAAACTTACAAATAACCTTTTAAACTACATTATCTTAATACATTAATGTTTATGGGGACTATTCTTGACATGCAATTGATCAAGAACACTGATAATTAGTTCATACAGAGTTAAATCGATAAATTGTTTAGAATCAACTTCCTAATTAAAATATTAGTGGCATTCTAACAAAGTACAAAACCACACACACATGTGTACATTCAGAGAGAGAAATGAGAATGATACTGACATCTTTTCTCTAAAACATACTAGATCTCTGACCACAGAAGGCCAAGAGATTTAATCTCTTGAAGTATTAGATTCCTTATCTTTAAAGTGAAGGGAAGAATATCTTCTTGACAGAATCATATTGAGGACTAGAAAAAAGTAGATAGCACCTAGCACAGTGCCTGCCTCATGATAAGTATTTGTCTTCAACACAAATTGTTTTGTTGTTAACTGTCCTTAAAAATATGATATTTGGAGCTGGGGTTGTGGCTCAGCGGTAGAGCGCTTGCCTAGCACAGGTGAGGCCCTGGGTTTGATCCTCAGCACCACATAAAAACTAAATAAATAAAATAAAGGTACTGTGTCCAACTACAACTAAAAAAAATTTTAAAAAATATGGTATGTATTGATAACATTCTTTCATAATATATAAGTAACAGTATTCACAAGGCAACAATTTGAAAGGATTCAGTAAAAAAATCATTTTACTTTCAGTGTGTCTTTTAATTATACATTTTATCCAACTTTTTTGCAAATATTGTATGTGTGATTACTAGTCAGGGAGGAAAAGGGCAGAATATCCCTTTATTCCAAGTTCCAGGCTTAAAAACAATAAAAATAATGTGACAAGGAAAATTGAATTGAATGCTGAAAGACTGTCATAACTTGTTTAAATTACACTTAATAATTAAAGAAATGGTTTTTAAATTTTTTTATTTTATACTTTAATAGCTTTTAATAGAAGTCTGATAGTAAAGGTAGAGGAAGGTGGTGAGTTTTACTAACACAAAATTTTATCTTTTGCCAGAAACTTTGATGTATCTTTTTAATCCATTCGTGCACTTCCAGTCTTCAAAAAATGCATATTCAGAGGCTGATTGATTTGATAGTAACTCAAACTAAATAACTGATTTTGAAGAGAGCAAAATTGAGTAAATCAGAGTACCATGAGATAAACGATATTCAAGCAACATAACATACAAACGGCAAAATTTTACATCTGATATCCAGCATCCGGTTCCAAAAACTCTTAGAGCAGGAATGGAATTTTGGCACATCAAGTGACCCAGATTACTGATTTTATATTATGGATGTCTAAAACCTGAGCAAAAAGTTTATTCCCGGACTTTGTAGGTCCAAAAGGATAGAAGTACCACAACGACTGTCCCATACCCAATATAGAAATATCTTCATCTTTTATTCATGTAACGAATATGAGAGGGTGTTAACTTTGGTCCTCTTCCCTCCCTCTGTTTTCTCTGTATGAAGAAAAAGAGTTCTTTTCTATAAAGAGTCAAATATGTGTAGATAACGTATGTGAAAATGTAAAACATTATATGTTATTTTCATGCTCACTCTTGAGACAGGTGTTGTTTTCCATGCTTTAATCAGAGGAAAATGCTGCTCAGTTAAGAATCTTTTTTAAGTTTACATAGTGGAAAAGTTTGGATTTGAAATCATTTATTTTGCATATCACATTGCTTCCTAAATGACAGAAAATGATTACATAATTTGTCTACTTAGCTCCTTGTAGAGACACATATGTTGTGAGAGTATGCTATGCTGTTTTTTTGCTTTTGGCTTACAGATAATAAACAATGAATTATGTTATGATGTATTACCCTTCAAACATCAACAGTTCAGCACCCTCTTTTCATTAGAAAAAGGTATACGTAGCAAAGGTATTATGCATGCACAATGAAACTTCTAACCTATTTTATCATTTAGTTAACTTAGATAAATGTTGGAGCAAATTGAACTGTGTAACTTGCTTTCCATGTGCTTCCACTAAACATAATTTATTAACAGTTTTCTCTCTGTTTATAGGAATGACTTGCCAAGCTCGAACATCATACACTGAAGATGAAGTTCTTTGGGGTCATCGTTTTTTTCCAGTAATATCCTTAGAAGAAGGATTCTTTAAAGTTGATTATTCTCAGTTCCATGCAACATTTGAAGTCCCCACCCCACCTTACAGTGTGAAAGAGCAGGAGGAAATGCTTCTCATGTCATCCCCTTTAATAGCACCAGCCATAACTAACAGCAAAGAAAGACATAATTCTGTGGAGTGCTTAGATGGACTAGATGACATTAGCACAAAACTTCCATCGAAGCTGCAGAAAATTACTGGAAGAGAAGACTTTCCTAAAAAACTCTTAAGGATGAGTTCTACAACTTCAGAAAAAGCCTACAGTTTGGGAGACTTGCCCATGAAACTTCAACGAATAAGTTCAGTTCCTGGCAACTCAGAAGAAAAACTGGTATCCAAAACCACCAAGATGTTATCTGATCCCATGAGCCAGTCTGTGGCTGATTTGCCACCAAAGCTTCAAAAAATGGCTGGAGGAGCAGCCAGGATGGAAGGGAATCTTCCAGCCAAATTAAGAAAAATGAACTCTGATCGTTTCACATAACAAAACACCCCCTTAGGCATTATTTAATGTTTTGAGTTAGTAATAGTCCAATATTTGGCTGAAGAGATAATCCTCCCTAAGAAATCTGAAAGATATATTTCTCCCCCAGTCTAATTAGCATATTTGAGAACTCTTTATTCCCAAGTATTGCTACTGTGCAGAAAGGAAAATCAGGAAGGGAGAACATCATAAGGAAGCTGTTAATGGGCATGTATTATCACATCAAGCATGCAATAATGTGAAAATTTTGCATTTAGTTTTATGGCATGATTTATATATGTCATATTTATATTGTATATTCTGGAAAATATATACAAATATATATTTAAAGGAGAGGTAGTCTCCCTATCATTTCTAACACATGTATTAAGCCAAACATGAGTGGATAGCTTTCAGGGTGATAAAACTACACACACACATACATGTGTGTGTGTATATATATATATATATATATATATATATATATATATATATATATATATATATATATATATATACATCCATGTACACATACATACATATATATCTGATAAAAATTGTGATGTTTTGTTCAAAGTTGTAGTTCTTGTGCATGTTTACTTTATTAGACTAGGAAGGCTACTGGCATTAATTATTAATACCAAATATTTTAGCCTTAAATTATTTGTCATTTAAAAATCTGATTTAATGTTTTCTGCTGTTCAAGGTCATAGAAGGTTCAATTGTGTTTTATCATGAGAAGGTCACAAAAGTTTGCTATTTACAGCCCTGCAAAAGTATTGCCTTATACATTTGACTTGTAAATTTTAGAGCATACCAATACCTGGTATATCATTGAAATTTTCTCATGATTTTAAAAGTTGCTAGTACTGGGGGGAAATTAGTGCTGATTTATTTGAGAATTAGTTCTTTCCTGGACTAATTAAAATCTGGAAATCTGTTTTGTACATGGTATAATACAAATATGAGCTCTGAACAAATGCTAAATCATTGTTAATAATCAGTAGCCAGGTTCTATTTGAATATATAAGAATTTGTGTAAAATGACATAGTCCCTGTTTCAAACAGAATCAATTGGAAATGTTTTCACTCCTATTCTGGAATTTTTCTGTCCATTTAAAAAACAAAAAAATATCTTTAAGGGAATGCAATAAGGCAATGAAACAGATGATAAATACTTATGCTTAAAATATGTATGTCTAATTGAGTCTCTTTTTATGCTGTTCTCGTTTATGACATTTGTTGTAAGAAGAGAGATTTTTTTTTTCATACCTGGGAACTGTCCCAGACCTGTCACTTATAGTTCAGGAAGATTGTCTGGATAGACCTGAAAGAAATTAAAATTAGATGAATTGAAGATAACTTACACACAGTTCTTCTTGATGAGCACTGATTTTATTGGTATCTTGGATCCCTGGCCTACTCAGTTTTAGCAGTACGATATTTATAACCCCAATGGTCATACACATTATTGGGAATCAAAATTATTGATCAGTAGAACACATTCAAAATAAGATTTGAAGTGCAAATGTTTTATGAAAAGTTAGAAGTGTTCCTTATTAGAATATTACAACTTTTCCTCCAAAACTTCTTTGGGCATTGCAATCTAATTCTGCACAGAAATACTCCACTTCTGACTAATGTGCAAATCACTAATAGCTGGTTTGGGCTCCCATCATTTGCTATTTTTTAGCAATCCTGTGATGATTTTATTATTGGCAAATTATTACATCAATGATTCTATCATTAACTATAATAATATCTTCTGGCTACCTCTATATCAACCAAATTCTGTAGGTGCAAACATATACCAGGGAATTGTTACTGGCAAAATGATCAACCTTGAATATTCATCCACTGTGAAAAGAGCGGTGGCCCTACCCCTTGATTATTAAACTTTCTTATTTGCTGGATGTAGGAAATGAGATAGTAGCAGAGAAAAGGGCCTAAGAGGCATGGCATACTCTATTTATTAGCAGTGGAAGAAACTGCATAGATCATTTAGTCTAACACCTTAAAACTAAACAGAGCCATAATTTACTTTGGAGGGTCATTTAAATTTGTTTTTGGTACCAAGAAGAAGAACCAAAAACAAAATCTTTGAATGTATTCATTCATTCAACAAAAGTTTGCATGCCTTCCATGTCCTGGGCAATTTTTACTTCCTGGGGATTTGAACATGACTAAGAGGATGTCATTGTTCATCATGGACACAGCATACCAGTAGGTGGGAGGGGTAGAAACAGACAAAAAAACAAACAAGACAATTTCAGATAGTCAAAATGGCAAAAGAATGAAAACAGGGTAATGATGGCCAATGACTGTGTGGGGTAAGAATTGAGTATTTAAATAGAGATGACTAGCTTTGGGAGGTGAGTCGTATTTGGATAGAGACCTGAATGATGAGGAGTTCCTGTTGCCAAAACTGATTAATCAAAGTGAATGACATTTTTTTTTATCTTTTCCACATGTGTGGGAAAGGTACAATTTCTGCATGTAATTGCAGTTTAACCCCTATTTCTAGGTTGATCATAGATCCCAGTTTACCCAGGAAAATTCCAGTTTATACCTGTTGTATTTGTGTAATTATTAGTAGCATTCTCTTTCACTCCTATAATGTCTGGTTTGGATGATATATGGCAAAGTTTTTGTTGAAACTATATTATAAAGTCTGATATATTTGGATAAAAATAAAGAATTGCTTTTCTTCTCTTTTTGCTCATTTTTTTTTTTGACATGGATCAGTCCAAGCAAAATCATCTCAGCTTCGTATAGTTCCTAAAGGACTTCTTATTAAAGTGGTTTCATGTAACATTTGTTCACTCTGTATGTGACATGTCTCTTGGCAGTGAAAAGTTACTCATTTTATTAAATGAATAAAAAACTAAATCTCAGTATTTCCATTTCAGGAAGTTGTAAGAGCTCAAATCAAAGAGTCATAGTCAATTTAAACCAATTTTCATTTCACCAATGTGCTGGCTATTGGAAAGCAAAGCGTAATGTGATCATTGAACTGAATCACTCCACTTAACAACTAGAAAACTTGTCCTTTTTGTAGCATTTTAATAGTATATCTCTTGTTATAGTAAAATATTTCATTCTATTTATCAAAATGTTGTAAATAAAAGAATTATTTTGATAATGCTGATCCTTATTCTTTTCAGCAATATGTGAATATACATTGTAAATATATACTAAATGAAAAATAATAATTATTTCTGAAAAATTATTCTTATGCTGTTTTAAATTCATGCATACATGGCTTTAAATATCATGAAAAATATTCAGTTGTCTCAGCATTCAAAACCATCTTTGTCTGAACAGGATGGGTTTCCATCATGCATTATTATTATTGGAGGGAGACTGAGGTCATGCGGAAGCTGACTTACATCCTTCATGTATAATGAAAAATTTCCACAGTTCCTTACTAGCAGAGGGTTTGGCACAGTATGTCTATGAACTCTACTTCAAAATTTATGCTTGAATTATGTTGTACATACTCAAATTATTATCAAACTAATTGCATTTTTTTGGCATGCAATCTATAATTATTTAAATGTACAAGGTCATTTAGGTTACAGAAATATAAAACTCATGTATTCAGTACTGCAAGTTCAGTTTTATAAAAACCATATTAAACTTTTGAAACATCAATGGGTTTAATTTTCATAGTGTGCTTATCATTTTTTTTTCATTTTCCTACAGTCATTCACATTCCTTGATTCATTTTTGTTTATCATAAGATTCATAACTCCTGAAAGACAATCATTCCATTCATCAGAAGATATTCTTTGAGAATCCCTTTCATTTGGGTCCTTAGTGGTGAGCTGCTTCAGCAATCTGCAACCTGAACATAATAATGCTGATGACCTGGGAGCTGTTTTTCCTGGGAGGAAGCTTCATGATCATCTTACCCTTTCCTGAACAAACCAGTGTTTTAAAAGTTAAAGTAAGTAAACTAGAAAAAAAATGTGGTTTCTAATTTGGTTTAAATAATGAACCATCTTTTAATAAAACGTTGTTTCAGCTGAAAGTGTTTCATAGAAAGACATATATTCTTCATCTTGGATCAGAAGAGTCCTGTGATACTTAATGTTCCCCACCACCAGGATGTTTACATAATTAATCTAAAAAGCTAAGTAGTTGTAGCTTCTGACCTGGTGAGTTTCAGGACAGTCCTCACCATTAAGTGAAATGGTTTTTTTTTATTTTTTTGAAAATTAGTATTTATTTTCACCTATAAAATTTCTTGAAATCATAGCAATTTCAGAATATTTCAGCTGTGTATGACCGAAGAATGCTATAGAGAATAAATATGGTAGGACCCACTGAATTGTCACTGCTTAAGAAGAATCACTGCTATTTATCCCTTCCCAGCATTGAATATGTCAATCACTTGCATAGTGACTAGCAGATGTTATTTGAATTCTTGGAGTAACTCTGCATGGTACATTATTCCCATTTTACATTTGAAGAAACTGATTCTCAGAGAGGCTCTTCAGTGGGTTTTTAAAATTAATTCCACAAACATGAGGTTAGTCTCTACCCCCCTGGGAGAATAAAGTATATGGAGAATCTTTTTTAAAAAACATTTGAATATCCCAGACAATTAGGATGCATGAACATAAATATTCAATGAGTTTGGGCAATCATTTCAGACTTGCATAATTAGGTTTACATTTTTCCTTGTGATTTGAACAAGTGGTGGGTGAAAGGCAAAAAGGCATAAGGCATATATTGCAATCATTATGGGATACTTGAAGAAAAACAAGGTGAGTAGAAATATAAACAAAAATTAAGGAAATATAGAGCAAGGCAGAAACTTTAAGTGGTGCACAGAGAAATACATAAATGGCAAAAATGTAAAATAAAAGCCACACTAAAAATTCAGGAATCCACCAGATTACTTGGAAAAAAAAATGAAATATTTCAAAAAAAAAAAGCAGAAAATCTCATACTCAAGTACCTCAGAGGAAAAGGTTAAATGATAAAGTAACATGTTGCCATATTTGCTCCAAGTAATTTTAAAGAAATAAAAAGTGATAGAAATCACTAAAACACCTACCTCCTTTCTTTGAAACCTACAGGATTGTATTTCTCTGCCTCTCTCATCAGAAGGCATCACTTTCTGGAAATTTGTGTGTATGCTTCCCATGCTTGTGAGTGTGTATGCCTATGTGTGTATAAATATAGACACAGTATAAGTATACTTACATATATAACAGAAAATATACTGATATATGCATATATACATATACATACATATATATACATACACACACACAAACACACATATATATATATATATATATATATATATATATATATATATATACATATATATTAATCACATAGGTTAGTAGATAGCTAATCAGTTTATTTTGTAGTTGTATTTGGACACAATACTTCATTTTATTTATTTATTTTTATGTGGCCCTGAGGATCGAACCCAGCGCCTCACATGTGCTAGGCGAGTGCTCTACTGCTGAGCCACAACTCCAGCCCCTGTAATTAGTCTTTTTTTTTTTTTGAGGCTTTACTGCCTTTTCTTAGATTATGTATTTCCATTATTTCCTTTGTTAAACATTTCATTATTTTAGTAACCTTGAATATTTAAGCTAGCATACGTGATCTAATGAAACTTTAATTAACATCCTAAGCTTCCTTTTAAACAACACAAGTAGAAAATCAAGCATCTTAGAGCATCTTAAATACACCCAGATCTTCTCATATTTTGTTATTTTATATAGTATTACACTTGTTTTAATGTTCTAACAAAAATTATGGTTTTTAAGTTGATATATCTATTATTACTCACATACATGTTTTATCTATTCTTCAATTTCCTTTCTATATTTTTCATTCTTTATTATTTACGTATACATTTGAATTTTTCTAACAATAAACATCTGTGATGGAAAAATATCTGTTATCAAAAATGTCTTTTTTTTTTACAATCTTCAAGCAAATATTTTATACTTCTCACTAGAGGCGGGGGGACCCTCAAATGCATTCAAATAGATTCAAAATAGCATCCATAACTTTAGTGCCCTGAATCTAAGCTTATACAGTAAGTTCACTTTCTCTTGATTAAACTACCCCACTCTTTGTCCTTAAAACAAAATCAAGGATAGATTAAGTTTCAGCAGATCAACCTGAGAGCTATTGTCAACATTTGTTGGCAAAAAAAAAAAAATACTGTCCCATATAGAAACAATATGTATTAAAACTTGTGACCTAGAAAATATTTTAGAAGAAGATTCCAATGATCAATGAACCGTAACTCAAACTTTCAGTGGGTGCATGTTAGAGGGCACTTTTATCAGGTTTCAAGTTTCAGTGGCAAGTCAGAAAAATGAGAAAGACAAGCCAGAAAATGTCACCTAGATTTGGCTTTATTTTTATAAATGAAAGCTGTCCTCTCCTGCTGCCCATTGTTAAAAAGAAGGTTTGTGATATCTGATGAAATTTATGTATCCTGTGCTTAATAAAACTATTTTTATGAAGATTGACATTTTAATTGTGAAATTTTCTCTCTTCCCTCTCATCACTGAAATGACTTCTTATTTTTATAAGCAAGCTGGTAAAGGGAAATACAGGTACAAAATCAGACAATTCTTTTATATATTTATATTTTGTAACCCTGCATAAATTTAACTTCACTGGCTCTTTGGCCCTGTATATAAAATTTATAGGATAAAATTTCATTCCATTCCTTCTGAGATTCATGTTTCACATTATCCACAGCTTTTCTTTAAAAATCCAGATGTGGACAAGTCAATGAGCTCTCTTATTCAATAAGCTTTTTTTGATTGAACATGAAACTCATGTATAATGACAGCCATTTGCCCGTCTGACTGACTGAGTTGATATTCAGCTGTCAACTAGACATTAGTGGCAGATATCTGTTAAATTGAGATCTATGCTATGACAGAAGTATTTGGATTTTTTAAAGAAAGGTTTAACCATAAACCTTAGATTTGTGAGTGGATAAAATAATTAATAACCAAGTTGCAGGGAAAAATTACTTTGAGGAATGGGAATTATATCTAGCCTTGAAGAAAGTAGTTGTCTGCCTTAGATGAGAATCTAATCATTGACTACAATTAGATTGGAGAGCAACCCGTGAATGACCAGTGTTCAAACTAATATTCCATTATTCTTAACTAATAAGTTACAGCCACTGTTTATGAAATTATTTTTTCCTCAACATGCTGCTATTGATTTAAAATTATTAAATATGACTTTTGTATGTGGGAAGCTCTTGAGAATGACGGATGCAATTTGTATCATGTGTGGTGGTATCTATACCATCTCTTGCCCATCAACACGCACTTTCTAGGTAATCACATCTAGTTTGGAATTATCTACAGGTTTGAAATATCCTCAGTTCAAAATCTTTAAATCAGTATTTACATGATTGGTCAATTTTGTGTGGCAAATGTACAGTTTGCCCTAGAGTTATAGAAGATAATAAAAATTAAAAACTCCAAAACTATTAGAGATGACTACTAACAAAAGTACAGTGTTGTATATGTTTTAAAACATAATTGCACAGTATACTATGGGAGCACTGAGCAAGAATGTGATCCAAATCATTCGAGATGTGATTATTGTGGGATTAAGGAAGGTGGGAAGATCTTAAAAAGTATTTTACAGTGTAGGATGCTGGAGTATGTTTTAAGAGCTTTGAAGAGATGACATAGATAAGGAAAAAGAGGAGAAATACATGAATCAGCATGTATAGATTCATAGTTTAAAAAACATGTTTTGCAAATACAGAGAGTTTAAAAAGACTAAAACATGGGGTAAGAGAAATGGATTCATATGGGACATAGACAAGTAGGGGCCCATCCATGAAAGGTAAGATCACCCACAGAAAAGAGTTTATGTTGAAGGGAATTTTTAAAAATATGGTGAAGTAAGAATATATATTTTATAAAATTTATTCTGCTAAAATGCCTCAGGATAAATTAATTCTAAAATTATCATTTAATTGTAATCAATATATTTTTCATTAAACTGTTTATAACTCATGTCTTTCAGAAAAAAAGAACTTAGGAGCCTCAAAACGTGTTATATGAAAAAATGAATAAAATTAAACAGAAAGAAAGATGGAAAATTAGATTCTAACTTTGAAGGTTAATATAGTTGCTTTTGGTGAATGTAATGTTTCACTACTATAATGTAAAAGAAATGAAGGGGAGTCATTTTTTTTAGTTATAGATGTACACGAATCTTTATATTTTATTTATTTATGAGGATTGAACCCAGGGCCTCACATGTACGAGGCAAGCGCTGTACCACTGAACTACAACTCCAGTCCAGGGGAGTCATTTTATGTGGTCTCTTTATCTGAAAAAGAGAAAATCACCAATTCCCTAAAGACTGACCAAGCATTTTAGATCTTTTTATATTTCCTTAGACTTACACAATAATGACTCTCACCTCAACATTTTTTTATTAATTTTCTTTTAATTTATATATGACAGCAGAGTGCAATGCAATTCATATTACACATATAGAGCATGATTTTTCATATCACTGGTTGTATACAAAGTATACCCATACCAATTCATGTCTTCATACATGTACTTTGGATAATGATGACCATCACATTCCCACCATCATTTCTAACCCCATGCTCCCTCCCT